TATTATTATTATTATTATTATTATTATTATTATTATTATTGATTTCCACTATTGGAGGGAGGGTTTCCAGGAGATAAAAGCAAAGCAGCTTCATTTATATACCGCTTCATATTGCGCTATGGGATGTCTAAGCGGTTTACAACTGTAAGCTCATTGCCCCCCAACAGTTGGGTACTCATTTTAGTGACCTCGGAAGGATGCAGGCCTGAGTCAAGCCTCAGCCCTGGCTGGTATTGAACTCGCAACCTTGTGGTCTATGAGTGATTGGCTGCAGTACAGGCATTTAACCACTGCACCACCAGGGCTCTTAAAAGATAAATCAAGTATTTTACAATTCCTGGAGGCCACTGTGTTTTGGGCAATTTTTGTGTTAACACGTGGGGAAGAATTGGGAAATACAAGAGCTGCTGAGAATCAGTGGAAGTCTGGGGGCAAAAGAAAAAGGTTAGTGGGCTGAGTGTCCCCCTCCATGGGCAGCACTTTTCCTATACTTGATCTAAAATATTGGAAGCAACTGAATGGACACTTCCTAGAAGAACACTGCATCAGGCAATGCAATCCTATGAACCTTTGCTTGAAGCCTCTCTGATACCAATGGAATCTGCGCAACTGAACATACATGAACTATGTACTGAGACAGACACCCCATCCAGTAACAGAAATGCATACATGTATTGCTTTGCAGAGTCAAAATCTAGATGTGTAGATTACTTGCACTGTTATACACCTTAAGAAGCTAATCAATGCTATACTGCATTGCATGTGGATAGGGAATACATTCCCATCCAGTAACAGAAATGCATACATGTATTGCTTTGCTGAGTCAAAATCTAGATGTGTAGATTACTTGCACTGTTATACACCTTAAGAAGCTAATCAATGCTATACTGCATTGCATGTGGATAGGGAATACATTCCCATCTTGTTTTGACATACAAAACTCTAGACGCACGATTCCCTCAAGTACTTTCTTGTAATATGTTGTCCTTGCCTAAAGCTATATATGGCTCGGAACAATGGATATAACAGTATTTCTATTTTGTTTCTATAGTGAATTAAAAATATAACTAAGAGTAGCACTTTAAAAACCTTCTTCATTGTAACAAGTGGCTAAAGCAAATAAGGCTACTTAAATTGTTTTCTAAATAATTACTGTTTTGATAGTGAAACACAACTTAAAATGCAAAATATATTTAGATAGCATGTATTTGTTCTTCTTCATGCTGTAATCCAATATTCTTATGGATATACGCAAAAGCAATTTAGATAAAATAGGAGCTCTGACCATACTCAGGCAGTATGACCAAGAAAAAAATGAAAACATCTTGGCAGTGAACTCCTTTTTTGGTAATGCTCCTTACAATCCTATTTGAACAAGGAATACACATGTCCTCAAATTACTTTTAAGCTTAGAAGAGTAACCTACCCATTCTACCAGAAAACTCTTAAGAGCTATTATGTTTGGACCTGTTTTTAACAATGGATTCTGTGCTTCCTCTTTAGAGAATGTTAATTCTTCAGAGAATGTTAACTGTTAACCTTCTAAAGACTAAGAGCTTTAGTTATAAAACTTACTAAAACTCTCCTAGAGAAACTAGGCCTATTGATGTTTAAAAATTATACATGGTAGCACATGAAATAGATGTAAATCTTCCAAAACTGCAGCACTAGTGTCTAGGGAGACTGGATACATAATAACTTGGCTTTTGAACTGAGATTTTAAAATAAAAAACAAGACACTTTTACATTCATTTTTCAAGTGCAACAACATACTGAACAGAGATAGTGAACCTAGTACTTAATATACAATGTTTGTGTTCAGCATGATTTTCTTTTTGAGAATTCCCAAACATCAATTTATATCAGGGGTGGGCAAAGTGTGGCCTGTGATCTGCATACATGGAACATGTTGGAGCAAATGCTTCCTTGGGAATGTGGAGGGCATTTCCACCACCTTTGGAGCTTCCCTGTATCACCCCAGGTTTAAAAAATGTATTTTTTTCCCCAAAAAATGTCTTTCTCAAAATACTATCTACAGAGCCAGGAAGGGCCCCAAAACATGGCGAGTATGTCCCTATGTCCTCTAGAGGGTGTTTGGAGGCATTTGGGGGGCAGTGGGGGAAAGCCCTTCATGGTATTTTGGGGACTCTAATGGCCATCCCAGATCTACACAAAGAACATAACAACGAGATTAAAAATGTTTCTTTTCCTATGACTACCTCAAAATAAGTCAGAGGAATTAACAAAACATCTGCAAGATCTGTGTGATGAGACATTTCCCATCCAGTAGAGATGCCAGATTTATTCTTTCTATTTAATATTTAATTAACATGTTCTGTTTATCAACCAGTTTCATTATATCATCCATAAACTAAGTTAGTGATATTAATTAGCCTGCGAAGAGGGACAATTACACAAAGGTCCTCAGAACATTTCATGCTACCTTGCTAACATTTCACCAATATTGTTTTTATCAGAGCCAACCAGTTCCCTTTTGACAGAACCTCTGAAGATGATTTAAGTCAAACAAAAATTTAGTGCACACTGCAAATGAATGTTTGCTAAAATGGAAGATGAAAACTGAGAGGGATTTTACAGGCAGAGCCACAATACAGACAGCAATGTAAAGTAATATGAATTTCAATGGTTACTTTTTAAAAGCTTGCTTATTTCAGCAGAATATCTGTGAGTTTCTTGTAACTATTTTCTGCATTTTAATACCGTCCTTTTGTAGCAACCAGCCTCTCTAAAGCTCACCACTGCATAATCCACTATCAAGTGATAATAAAAAGTTTACATCCCGTCTAACCAGGCAACACGTTAAATATCTAAGAATACACTACGATCCTGATTAATTTGCAAACTTACTTGGCATGTCACTGACAATTTGCACATTATTTCTATCAACTTGGCGTGTACAGCATATTTATCCTATAACATATCTATTCTAAACACTCGTGAGATTTTTTGAAAAATCCTGATACATAGACATAGATACCAAGGTAAGTTTTAACACACAACATTTAATTTTAAATTATTTTCAAACTTTTAGTTATTCTCAAATGTAGAGCAGTCATGAGGATTAGATAGATACTGGTGGTGCTGGTAGTGGTATCCCTTCAAGTCATTTCCAAGTTATCTTGGGTTTTCTTGGCAAGTTTCTTCAGAGGAGGTTTATCATTGCCATCTTCTGAGTCTGAGAGAGTGTGACTTGCTCATGGTCACCCAGTGGGTTTACATGGCCGAACTGGGATCCAAACCCTGGTCTCTAGAGTCCTAGTCCAATGCTCAAACCATTATGCCATACTGGCTGTCAGACAGATACTTGTCTATGTCTTATATTTGAACTACAAATACACTTGGCAATGGGAGATACTCTACTGAAGAGAATGACCTTCATCTGCCCTAGTTAACTCTCCCCTACATCTTTTTAACCAAGGCCAGTACTCTATTTCAGCTTTGTTTTGATATCCTGCTTAAGCTATAAGCATTTTAGAAAGGAATGTGTCACTTCTGTTTAGTACAATGACTGGGATCAAAAGATGTGAACCAAAGTTTGGAAAGGCATTTTTTAAAAGTAATTAGTCAGAGGTCTACATCCAGTTTTGAATCCCAACTAGAGTAGACTACTGTAGCTAAATCAGTTGAATTTACATAAATCTTGATATAAATTCAAATCATTCCAAATTATTCAATTGCTTTACTCTAGAGAGGACTAACAATTGTATTTAGGCTATAGCTATGTTACTGTTATATGGTAGTCATAATTTTTAAAAAGGAACTCTTTATACATCTATATGTTCCAGCTCGGCCCTGAAACCCAATGAGTTGACCTTGAGCAAGTCATACTCTCTCAGCCTCAGAGGATGGTGATGGCAAACCCCTTCTGAAGAAACCTGCCAAGAAAACCCTGTGATAGATTCGCCTTAAGGTTGCCATAAGTCGGAAACAACTTGAAGGCACACAATAACAACAATAATGTTTAAATTAACTCTTTAGTTACTTTGTAGAAAGCATCTAAATGCAGCAGCTGGAATTCTAATCAGGGCAAGTTATAGGGAGCATACAACTCCCTTGTTGAAACAGCTTCACAGGCTACTGGTTTGTTTCTGGGCACAATTCAAAGAGTTGGTCATGACCTATAAACCCCTATCTGTCTTATGTACAGACTATCTGAGACACCATTTCTCCCTATTTGTACCTGCAAGAGTCCTAAGATCTTCAGGAGAAGACTTTCTCTTGGTCCCACCACCATCCTAGACTCGCTTAGTGAGGACATGAGAGAAAGCCTTCTTGGTGGCTGCTCCCACCCTCTGGAACTCCCTTCCTTCCATGGGAGGCTAGGCTCTTTCCATTTGCTGGCTGGCAAAGCCATTTTTTATTCAAACAGGCCTTTAATACAGACAGGCTTTTATATGGGGTGTGTGCTCTATTTATGTTTTAACTTCTGTATATTTTATAAAATTTTATATAGTTTTAGCAAGATGATTTTGCAAGATGGTTTCTGAAGATACCAGCCACATACGCAGGCAAAACGTCAGGAATAAACTCTTCCAGAACATGGCCACACAGCCCCGAAAACCCACAGAAAACTATGATTTAAATTGTTTTTATATTTTATTATAAAGTTTTAAAAACTATTTTATCTATGAGCCACCTTAGGTCCCTTTCTGGGAGAAAAGCAGCATATAAATAATTAATAAATACAGCAGCAGATTTTTTTTAAGATGGATTTTGCCACTGCCTTCTTCTAAGGCTAAGAAAGTGACTTGCCCAAGGTCACCCAGTGAGCTTCCATGGCCCAGTAAGGATTTGAACCTTGGTCTCTTGGAGTCCCAGCCAGCTTTATTTCCTACAAATTTAATCGGTGTTTGGAAGATCATTAAGCAAATATGATTTGAAGCCTGCACCTATCAATATCTGCTAATTTAATGTGGTACTGACCCACAAGCTTAGAAATTCCCTAATACCAACATATTCTAAAAAGCATGGAGAAGCAAAACAGCATTTAGAAACTAGAAGCATTATCAATATCACCAATGGGAACTAATTTAGAGTTTCTGAATTAATTCATTTAAAAATAAAATGTTGCAAAGCTTTCCTCCACCTATCTTTCTGTCAAGTCTCTAACTAGGGCATGTCTCAGCAACATTCAGAGACATTCCTTCTTCTTCTTTTCTGCTACTCTGACAACCAAGAACCGTGGCTGCCTTCCCATCTACAGGAGACCAGGCTTTCTTTATCTAGTAATGGGAGCTTCCGCTTGTCCTACAAAATACAATCAGACAAATTTAGGACAAGGAAAACTAGATTAAGGGGGGTTGCAGACTGCCAGAAATAGTGCAAATTCAGTCCACTTTTAGGGTTAGGGTTAGGGTTAGGGAATCATGGGAACTGTATTTTATTGTGGCACCAGACCTCTCTGACAGAGAAGGCTTAATGTCTCAGGAAAAAAACAATTCCCATGATTCCCTAGCACTAACCCTAACCCTAAAAGTGAACTGAATTTGCACTATTTCTGGCAGTCTGCAACCCCCCTAAAAGGATTATAAATGGTCTGCATCTTTCACCAACACTAGAACTGTGATAAAGTTCAAAGACGTAGCCATGTTAGTCTGGAAAACCAGTATGCAAAGGGATCTTGCATCACCTGAGACTAACTGAAAGATAGAAGTTGGTGGCATGAGCTTTCGTAGATTTGAACCTATTTCCTCAGATGCATTTGGACAAGAACTGTGAGTGCATGCGTCTTTAAGTCACCTATCCATTCACGGCAACCCCGAGTGTTTCACAGCTGCCTTAGGCAAGGAACACACACAGATGGTTTGCCATTGCCTGCCTCTAAAATAAAGCCTACAGCACCTGGTATGCATTGGTGGTCCCCCATCCAAAGACTAACCAGGTCTAATCTTGCTTAGTTTGCAAGATATAGTACCTGGCACTTTTGGCTTTGTTGTTGTGTGCCGTCAAGTGGTTTCTGACATATGGCAACCCTAAGGCTAATTTATCACATGGCTTTCCTGGCAAGATTTATTCAGATGGGGTTTGCCCTTGCCTAACCTTCCTCTGAGGTTGAGAGAGTGTGGCATCCTCAAGGTCATCCAGTGGGTTTTCACAGCTGAGCAGGGATTTGAACACTGAATCTCAAATCGTAAGATTACTCAACCACTGCATCACCCTGGCTCTCTGTAGGCTAACCATCACTCCCACACTCTCCAGTTTGCAGCTTCCCACTTTTCCTAATAAGAGGCAACTATTATTCCCATCACCACCGGCCAGACTTACTGGGGCTCATGGGAACTGGAGTCCCAAAACATGTAAGGACTTTATAACTTTCTTAGCTAAAGTTTCTGTGTCCACATCCCTGCAATCCCTAACACTTTAGAGTCATAGTCTTATTTAAAATAAAACCTATTTCTACAATCCTTTTTGGAGGAGAGGTGTCTCTTGGAGTCTCCCTCCCACTTGCCTCCCTTATTCAAGTAACGTTACTCCATTACCTCTATAAATGCCCCCTTTCCCCAAATGTGAGCCAGCGTGGCTAGTGGTTTGAGTGTTGGACTATGACTCTGGAAACCAAGGTTCGATTCTCAGCTCAGCCATGAAACCCACTAAGGCAAGTCACACTCTCTCAGCCAGAGGAAGGTAATGACAAACCTCCTCTGAAGAAACTTGCCAAGAACACCCAGTGACAGGTTTCCCTTAGGGTCGCCATAAGTCGAAAAAGACTTGAAGGCGCACAACAGTAACAATAAACCCCAAATGTATGCACTCCTTCCCAATAAATCTTGGGGTCCCCTTCCCTGTCTTTCTATAGCAAGGGACCCTGAACTCAGGCAACTCCTCTCTTTGCTTGAGGACCGTCTGTCCTTTTCCTGGTCATCTCCATAGCTATGAAGCAACAGGGTTTTTCCTAACCCCCTTTCCCCTCAGCGCTTCAGTACTGGACTATGACTCTGGAGACCAGGGTTCAAATCCTGGGCCATGAAACCTAGTGGGGTGACCTAGGGCAAGTCACACTCTCTCAGCCTCAGAGGATGGCCATGGCAAACCCCCTCTGAAGAAACTTGCCAAGTAAACCTTAGAGTTGGGAAAGACTCGAGGACGCACAACCACAACCACCCTTGGGCAAAGTCACACCCTCTCAGCCTCAGAAGATGGCAAGGGCCAAACCCTGTCTGAAGAAACTTGCCAAGAAAACCCTGTGATAGCGTTGGGAAAGACTTGAAGGCACACCACCACC